GAAGAAATGTCTGAAGAAATTTTACTTTCTAAGGAGAACATATTAGAAAAAATATCGATTTTCATGGAAGGCATATCAGAAGAAATATCAGTTTTTAAAGAACACTTATCGTTTTTCATATTGGTAATTGAAGAAATTATAGAAGACGCATCATCCGAAAATAGGAACGTTTCCGGATCCAAACCTTTATTTTCTAGTGCTCTTTTAAGTCGTTCTGTCAGCTCTGATTTCTTCCCTTCGTCGCCAGTTCACGTTCTTCTAATTCTCAACGCAATTCAGCCACTTTTAAATCACACAGGTTTTTAGCCATTTTAGTCCACTATTTATTTACAGTTTCACACCAATGTAAAGATAGTTTAATTTATTTATAGTTTATTTACAATTTATTTATGACTTACTAAATAATTTATATAATACTTACGGACTAACCCACAATTCTAATTTAACAATAATAAAGAACAATCAGAATTGTAAGTAATTATGATTAGTTAAGCACTATATTTATCATTTAATTTTATTACAAAGTTAAAGTAAGCTAGTTAAGTTTTATTATAAAATTAAATTTAGTTGTTTAAATTTTATTATAGTTCTTTATATAGTTAGTTATTTAAATTTTATTTTAAATACAATTTCTGTTACTAACTAAACAGTTATTTACGAGTAATATCGGAACAGCTTCCTTCTTTATTCTGATCCTAAACTTACTTTTATCTAAAAATTCATCCTAAAACTGAATTGAATACAACATAATATTTGGTCTAGGCATCGAATGGTAATTTTCCACAAATTCACATAAAATTTGTCTTTTGGAAATCGTAATAAAATTTTAACGTTAAACAAGAAATTAGGAATTATGATAAAATACTAACTACATTTCTTAAACTTACTTGTGAAAACTTAAATCACACCTTTTCTTCCGTTTCTTAATTTTTTTTATTTTATTAGGTTTATTAGGTTTAGTACACTTGGTCATGATTTTTTTTCACAATAATAAAAAAGATTGACTAGGACAGAATTAACGCTGAAATCAGAGATAAGGTACATAAAGATAGGAAACGCAGCGACCTCAGTAACGATGGCGTCATCTATGCGTCTCAGATGTTAACTAAAGGTACACGTCGGTTGTAGACAGACAGTAGACGCGGACAGTTTGTAAATATAAATGTCAGTTAGTTGTATGTATATCGTAGAATCCTGCATTTGAATTTTAAATTTTGAGTTCACGATTGTGTTATCCTCTAGATGAACTTAGCGAAATGGTTGTAGCTGTTTTTGTGTGAAATTTGAAGACAATAAATATATTTTGTAATATTACAACAAGTCGGAGAACGTATTGCATTAGTAACACATGCCACATGAATAAATGTAACAATCCCAATGTGGTGTTCTTTAATTAACCAAAGTAAGATCTAGTCATGTAAGTTACATAAGTAGTAGCCAACTTTTGTCACAAAGTAGGTATTTATTTACTATTTATTGTTTTAGAGCAAGAAAATCTTTGAGTATATATATGCTCGAAAAAGAAAATGGTTTCAAAACGTTAGAAAGAAGATTTGATATAGCAAGAAAAATACATGAATTCCCATTATTGAGTTTGCACTCATCACTTTTAAATAAGACACCATTGGCCATTCGTTTGGAAAATAAGAACAAAAATGTTAATGTTACCCATAACGATCAAAAATTAAAAAATATTTGTCATGAATAGATTTAAAATAATTAATCGATAATAGACTGTAAGTGTAGTATTCTTTTTAATAAATAATTTACCGTAATTACATTGTTTAAATTCATTTACTAGAACGTGAGAGTGCAGTCGATATTTATACAACCTTAATTATCATATTTTTAAATTTTCCGCTGCAATATTTTTTTGATATCGATGACAGCGCCACATAGTGGGTCAGATGTTAACTGCGTTAAAGCTGGTCGTTATTAAGCATTGGCTTCTTATGAGCGTTTCCTATCTTTATCTCCCTTATCTCTGGCTGCAATATTTAAATTTTAAAAAGGTTTTGACAGCTCTTTGACAAATATAACATTAGGCATTCCAAACAAATGAATTACCAGTGGGCAGGTTTGGTATATCTAAGGGTGGCGACATATGGTGTATTCTATCTACTTTACGTAAAATCATGAATAATGGATTACATTTAAATATTTTATGTCAAACACAATAAAAATAATATTTAAAAAACCCACCTATACATTTCTTCATAAATTGGCAGGCTTGGCGAGTACTACTTCGAATAAAAATAGCGTCCAAGTTGCAAGACTATGTTGCTACCCCCTTAAATATACAAGAATTTCCCACTGGCACCTATTGTTTGACAGGTCTTTGGAATGCCTAATTGATTCTAAGGGAGTGGGAAGGGGTGTCGCTTTTTTTGGAATGTCATTTCTATATTATTCAACCTCATTAGTTTAAATCGTATTTGCTCTTAGTTTTTTTCATGTTATTCCCTTGACAACAGAAATATCTAGAAATTACGTCACTGTCTTTAATATAAAAACCGATACACGTCATCAATCAGTTGTTAAGTCATAGTGTTGCCCAATCTTCAAAATAGTTTAAGAATGTGGGAATTTTTAAAACTATGAGGTTATGTTTTTTTGGCTATGTTATAAGGAACAATTAATTTTAAATGTATAATGAATTCTATATAAAAGCCAATGAAGGTCATTGATAATGTTTAAATTAAAGTTTTAGAAAAACACTGAATTTAATAGTAATAAATTTTGCACAAGAGTTAAAATGACAAAAGGTTAAGTTAAGGATGAAAAAATAAACAAATTTTGTTTAGGCTTGATTTAATTTACAATAAAGAATAATTATGTTCAGTTAGTTTATAAACATCCATATTTAAAAGAAGTAACAATAATTAGAACAGTTAGGTAATAAAATTAACAACACATGACATTTTAAAACTTAAATAATATTTAAGCTAAAATCAGTCAGAATAATCAGAACTAAAATCAGAATCATCTCTATTTGGTGTTATAATAATGGGAGCAATTTCCAATCGGTCCAGTATATGCTCTCTTTCACACCATTTAAAAATTTCTTTTTCAGTGTGTCTTACACTGTTTGCCATATTTGTGGGGTAATGGTTCGGAGGGCTTCAGACCACATATCTATACAATCTCTTTGTGTCTTTCCATCCCGACCAATATGCCTGTTATAATATTGTTTTGAAATACCCCAAATCAGTTCTATTGGATTAAAAATACAATGGTAAGGAGGAAGACGTAACACCTTAGTTCATACTGTTCAGCCAGCATATCAGCTACATATATTTTTGGTGGTTTATTACTAAAAAATAAAATCAATTAAAAAATACAGAAAAAGTAGATTTCCATTACTCACCGTCTAACAAGGTTCAAAAGTTCAGCCTTAAACAAGGTGACTGAATAAGGTATGTTCTGATTCGTCAACCACTCTTGAATTTGAACCTTAGTCAAATTACTATTCGATGTTTTGTGTGCCAATGTGCTATGGTATGAAGCATTGTCTATTACAATTAAAGATGGTTCATGCAGTTTTCGAAGCAATTGTTGTTCGAACCATTTTAAAAAATTTTCATTATTCATGTCACCGTGATAATCATAATCATTGCTTTTTGAAGCAAATATGGCCTCGGCACCATCAATAAATCCATTTTAGTTTCCAGCATGAAGAATTATATATCTATAAAAAAGATCAATATACAGTTAACATGTATACATTAATTTTTTTTATTAACCTTTTACCATCAACTTTTGTACTTTTTACACTTCTTTTATTGCTGTCTTGCCAAGAATGGTTAATGGTGCCATATTGGAAAATCCAAGTCTCATCAATAAAAACAAACTGGTACAAATTTGCTTCCTTTTCTATGGTATATTTTCTTAAAAATTCTGCCCGTTTCACGGCAATATCTGGAAGTTCCATAAGACCTCGCCTTGGTTCATCTTTCTGCCATTTGAAACCTATTTCTAATAATAAGGTATACAATGATGTGCGACATCCATTGAACAACTCCTTCTCATTAGGTTTCACCAACTAAGAATCTAAACTTACATGCTCCTCTGAAATCATACATTAATTTGTAATTGTTTTATAATAATTTATATACATATACACTTACTAGACCGTACATGCTATAAATAACATCTCGAATAGCACTGGTATTCAGAATTCTTGTGGTGGTAACTTTCTTTTGCCTAGGGCGCTTTTTTAGTGGTGGCTTTAGAACTTCACTGTTCTTTACAGCTTGTGAAATAGAACTAACAGTAGAAAAATTTAGATTAAGTGCTTCTGCGACACGCTGAAACAAAATAATTATATTAATTTAACGGTGATACATTTTTAATCAACTCACTTCTCTTACAGCTGTTAAAGGTAACATAGGCCCATTATTATCACGTTCTTTCTCAAAATAATTTAATAGAGAAGCCACTAGTTCCTTGCAGTGACTATTTAATTGTTTTGTCATTTTTCAATAAAAAAATACACAATAAACGAACACCACTATTAAATTCCTAACAAATTTGTTCTGAAAAGAACAGTTTGTTAATAATTTAATCTAAAATACAAATAATTTGTTGAAAAGAAATCGATCGATGCAAAATAATACAAAACAAATAACAATTGACAACAATGTATTAAAATTGAAAGCTGATACATTTGATGCCAACTTTTATTATGAAATTCACTAGAAAGTATTCCCCTAATAATCTGCCTACAGTACATTTACTACTGTGATATGATAAAAAATACATTATTAATATGAAATTTTATAAAAATGAACTCCATGCGTCTAAATTTATTTGCATTATAAAATTTAATTATTTTTATTAGTGTGTGTGGTACCAATGACTGTCACTGACGTCATCTCTGACGTGCATCGATTTTTATATTGAATGCTCAAAGTCTACTTTATACAAAGTTTTATTTTATTCCGTGTTTATTTCTCATACTTATTTGAATGAAATTCAGCTCTGAACACTTTAAATTGACTGTATTTATTACCTCTGACATTTTATGTTAAGTTTAATTATTTTAGCCGCTGTGTGATAGATTGCTTGTGTGGGAGTCAACTCCATATATAACTTTGTTTCAACACCAAAAATCCACTTACATTCTGGTAATATCGGTTTGTGGTAAATAATAGAAAACCACGAAAAGCGAATGACTAAGTTCGTTTCTTTGTCACTAACACCGATGCGCTGCCGTTGTGCCTAGAATAGCGACATAATTCAGACGACGAGGCAACTTCCAAAGTTTAAATGACGATTAATTAGAACACTCCGTGGTTTAACGCGCGGTTTTAATAAAACGAAACAACTAATTCCACATACATGATGAGGGATTCCATCTGGTACTTTGGTACTTAAACAGTGCTAAAACTTATAACGTTATAGGCATGGACAGTCTTGGAATAAATTTCAGAAAGGGGTTACATGGTTTATTATAACAGCCCCCGAGAAAACTCAAAATTAAAATTGTCTGTCAAAGTTCAAAATATTTTGGGTTGGTCCTTTAGCCACTGTCACAAAATGGCATTTACTAATTAACATTTTCATTGTAAACAAAATTTATTATCTTAAAATAATGCTGCAACAAAAAAGGAGGGGTTGATATTACTCCTGAAATCGTGCAGATATAGGGTGAGTTGAAAAAAAATAAGTAAGTAGTTATAAGCATTTACTTAAAATTAAAAGCAAACACTTGTTGTTAGGTGAAGAGAACTAAGACAATTCTTACAAAAGTTTACTTGTACAAAATGAAGTTTTTACGTATGTATATACCTAGTACTACACGCCTGTTTAAAAGGTTGCTTATTTACGTAGTTTTCTGATTGAGAGCGGTTTTAGTAATTACTTACGATGTCATCCAGTGGCGAAGACACTGAAAAACCAAAAAATATTTCGGATAACAGATCACATTTATTTTAAAACATAAAGTGGTCCTAAATAAGTCGATGGTACCAACAATGGTTGCGGCGAAGGAAAATGGGTGGAAAGCAATCAAAGATGTATTTTTAAAATACACAGGAAAATGTATAACTGTTGAGATCAGTTGAAAAAGTTACTTAATAATATGAAAAGCAAAGTTAAGAAAAAAACTGATTTATCTGCCACAGGAAATAAACCAATCAAGCTACTGCAATGGGAAAAACAATTTCTAGAAAGGTTAAATGCCGAAGAAAACGCTGTTTTCGCTAAAATTCCTGGAGCTGTCGCATTTGGAACAGACACTAGAAAATCTGGTATTTTTTCATTACGGCAAAATGAAAGCAAAACTACTATTATAAGCGGAAGTTTAGTCGAGACGAACACTACAACACGCGAGATACAACATGGAGTAGACAATTCTACCACAAGTTCCAATGGTAATGTTTCCAAACAACAGAGGTTGTTAGCTGCTGAAACAAAAGAAACGAAAAACCTATCAACTTCGGAGCTGCAACGCTAAGTGTTACTGGAACAGTTTAAACTGACAAGATTACAAATTGAAAAGGAGGAACTACAACTATAAGGTTTACGCCAGCAACAAGTTACAGAGGTAAATGATGATTATGCCAATAAGGAATTTAATATTCAAGTTCCATGTCATAAAAAATAATAAAAATATGTTCTGCTATTTAAGAATATGTTGTAAATGCAGCAGGTATTAAAATAAAATATAACTTAAAATGTTTTATTTACCATTTATATTTTACTTAAAAATAATAAACCTTCATTTATACTGTTTCAAAGTAACTGTAACTGATTGAGTATTTCAACTATTTTTAAGCGTTTTTCTTCACCAAGACGTCGAATATCATCTTGCTCATAAACTTCTTCTCCTGCTTCTTCCTTTTGAATAATTTCATTTTCATCTCCAAAAACAAATCCATCATTCAGGTGCTTAGCAATGTTATGCAGAATAGCACAACATACTATTATTTGCGGTATTTTTCTGAGAGTGATTCTTACCCTATTTGCAAGTATTGGAAAACACTGTTTCAATTGACCATACACACGTTCTATGACTACTCTTTCCTTCGAATGTAATGTGTTGTATCGCTGTTCCAATTGCTTTTGAGGTTACCTAAATGGTGTTAAGAGCCACGGTAAAATACCATATCCACTGTCTCCCAGCAAACAAGCACCCCCGTTAACTCTTGCAAGCGTTTGCTGAACTGAACTCTGTCGTCAAATCCTACTATCGTGTACACTGCCAGGCCATTGGGCATCAACACTTGTTATTCTTTCCTTTCCATCACATGTCATCTGAACATTTAACGTAGGAGAATTTTTTCTATTTATTTAGTCATCCCCAAACTGTGTAGGATTTTTAATAACTATGTGGCTACAATCAAGTGCACCAATTACTGTAGAAATTCTGTATGTTGTCTGCCTCATTGACTTTGCCTTATTTAAATCCAGTTCAGATGAAGGGAAAACTATCCATTGATCTGCCTTCTCCATAATTTTTTGTGCAACATAGTCCACAGTCTTACAAACAGTTGTTGTGTCAACGCCAAAGTCATTTGCAACACCGCTTAGGAAGCCAGGGTCACTTATATACTGGAGAAATATTTCCATTTGCTTTCTTGGAGCGAGGGCACCGCCTCGAGTTTCATTACTGTTTGGTAGAAAATAGTCCGTAATAAAATCGACATTTTCAGTTCAAATCTTAGAAGACGTTTTACGCTCTTTGGGCTTACATCTCTACGGCCGCGATATTGTTTAACTTTGCGAATATTTATAAATGCTGCCATTATAGGTATACAATTTACTGTAAGGTCACTTCATATCAACCTTGCAAAAATTAGAGTATTTACTTTAAAAGAAAAGTATTTGTTTGCTTTATTCACTCGAGAAAAGTAAATACTTATTATTTTGAGGCACTACTTGCTAAAAAAGTAATAACTCGAGTTTGCAAGTTTTTGCTTCGTGAGCATAAGTAAAGCCGTTTATTATTCATCTACTAGTAAGTATTCGCTCAAAAATTAGTAAGTAAAAGACAATGCTTGCTTTTATTCACCTCACCCATAGTTTCTGTTATTAATTTTTTAACAGAACTCAAAAAAAGGAGGAGGTTCTCCATTTGATGGAATTTTTTTTATGTATGTTAACCGAGTCCGATTTTTATGATTTTTTCTTAAAAAGGGAGTACCTCAGGTGTGGTCCCATATGATTTTGGTCAAAATCTGATAAAGGAATCAATAAGAAACTCATCAAACTCTTCATTTTTTATTTATATTCAGCAATTCTTTATCACTTTGTCCGATTTCTATGATTCTTTTTTTGTTAGAAAGGGGATAGTTCGGGGGTGGTCCCATATACGTTTGGTTAACATCTGATGATGGGATCTATAAGAAAATTGGCAAACTCAATTTGGCCCAAAAGCTAAAATGTAAGATCTATCTATTTTCAGTTCTTGATATTGATCCCAGGCCTATAGATGGACTATTTATAATCCTGCACTATGCTACGATATTATATTCTCGGTATTATGGAGTTTATAGTAAATTGTTAAGATTGTTTGAACATGCTTTCGACCCCCCATGTCCCTCTAAATCCTGAATTTGTCACAACTAATTTTAAAATTCGATAGTATATTATAAAATACGCTTTATTACATGATATATTCCGATTGTATCATAAATGACTCCATCCCACTAAAATATGCTCTCAAATATGGGGATGAATTGCAAAACCTGCTAGATCCAACGTAAAATCTGTTTCAAATGCGGTCCCATCCAAATTACTGAATTAACCAATAATGAAACGTTCTCAAAATTTGTAATGTACCTAAAGAGATAGCCCAATTCAATATTTAAATACCAGAACCCATTTCGTTTAACTTTCTTAAAATTTGTTTAAAATTTTTACTATTTTTGTCTTCCGAAATATTTGTTCTCGATTTTTTTTGTATGATCAAGTTTTTGTAATCTTATTATATAACTAGAATAAGGATATATAATGTCTTGGTATTATATATTATACTCCTCACAGTTTAACGCACCCTCTTAACACACATTTTTAATCATTTTTTCAAAATCAATAGGCTTCACCCCCTTATAGAGTTTGATTTATTCTGATGATTTCAAGTTGATATCGTTTTCTGTTTCTAAGTTAAGATTTTTTTTTATTTTCCAACCACCCTTAATCTCCCATTTTTAATAAGATGTGTTTTTAGGATCATTAAGCTTCATCCCCTTATAGAGCTTGATTTTATCTACAAATTTCATGTTGATACCGCTTTAAGTTTTTGATTTACTTTTTTTTTTAAATTTTGACCACCTTTAACCTCCCTCATTTTAAATCAGATTTTTTTACGTCCCTTATAGAGCTTGATTTAAACTAAAAATTTCATGTTGATATCGCTTTTCGTTTTTGATTTGTATTTTTTTTAATTTCAATCCCCATTAACGCCCCCATTTTACTTAAGTAATATTTCATAATATAATTTTTCGTTTTTGAGTTTTTTTCAATATTTCAACCCCCTTAACCCTCCATTTTTAATCAGATTTTTTCAAAAAAAATATACTTCGTACTCTTATAGTGCTTGATTTTTGTTATTGACTTAGTGTGAGGATAAAAAACGTGACATAGAACGGACGGTCGGACATTTTTAAAAGTTGTTTAAAATTTGATGAAAAAGATTTTGGTACAAAAATTTGGATCAATATTAAACTCGAAAGTAAACCTATAATACTCTATGTAGACTATAATAAAAAATATATTAGAACCACATTGCCTGTATTATTTATATAAAACGTGAAAAAATGACAAAAAAAATATTTTTTATATTTGTGATTTGTTTCAAAATTAGCCACTTCCACATTTTGTTACAAACGTATACCATCATACCATCATGATTATTGGAACAGGTCATTTAAGTTAAATAATAATTATTTAGGTACCAAGTCAGTTCGATAAAGACGCTTTGCTGACGTAATCCATACAAATTTTTATCGCCAACCGTTTTTCATCTTTATCTTTGTCGGTTATAAGCAGGTATGGTTATTTTTGGCCCAGAACACTGCGGTTTCTTGGGTATATTGCACTCCCCTGCTTTCCCGTATTTAGCTACTATCTTTGAAATAGTCCTGTGCCTTTGGTTAGCTTTACTAAGTTCCCTACCAAGTATTTCTGGGGATTTTTCCGGTTATAAGCCAAAAAGGGTGAGGTGTCACCTAGCAAGAGCTTCGCATTCGACGATCGCATGGTATGAGGTCTCTTTCACAGTATACACGTGGTGGGATCATTGTGTAATCCCATCACATGAAGGTGTTTCAGCAAGCTACGTCCCGTTAGTAATCCCACAATGGTGAATATCTGAGGCCTCGCTATTTGTAGAACCTTAGTAGCCATGCGTGGGTTTAGTCCCCTTAGCATGAGTTTACTGATTCTGTGCCCTCTTATCTGTTGTCAGTGAGTTTGGTATTTTGTGGTTATCCACCTGCTCACTACCTGTCGAGAAGAGGTTTTACTTATCCCAAATATAGGTTCGGGTCCAGTAAATGGTAGTTCTGATCCCTTTTAGGCGAGTTCATCAGCTTTTTTATTTCTTTAGATACCTTTGTGTCCTGGTACCCACGCTAGTTTTATCTTATTGTGGGTTGCCAGATCATTTAGTATTCCAAGGCAATTCCGGACCAGATTTGACTTGATTATATTTAAACCAAGGGCCTTTAAGGCTACTTGGCTATCCGAGAGAATTAATATTGTTTTTTATAGTTCCTTCTTAAATTCTCTCGTACACACAACTCGATTACATGTATTTCCGCCTGAAATACAGTGGTATGTATTCCTAGTGAGACGATGATGTCGAATTTGAGTTCAACTCCATGTACGCCAGATCCTGTTTCGTTGTTTGTTTTGGATAAATCCGTATACCATATGAGACCGCTAAGTATTTCTCTACCTCCTTATTCACTTCGTTCTAGTTACAGTTGACCTAGAAGAGTATGTTGAAGGTTAGGCGGGGTGTCATATGATCTGATCTCATGTTTAATACAGGATCATTTACCTCATATGTTATTCCGGTATGTTTTATATGTCTCAGTGGGTTTTAGTTGTTGAAGATGTCCAGCCTGTATGCATTCATTCTGGTCTCCCCCTTATGTCTAGGTCGAGGAGAGAAGTTTAGTATGATTTCCCCATAGAGGCTGTCGGTGCACTTCTCAGTGATCGTGTAATACAAAGGCATGCCAGCCTCTGTACTCCTGAGAGGGTATTGAGGACTGTTTTTTGGTTTACTTATGGTTACCAAACAACCGCTCTATAAGTTATCATGGGTTTTAATCCCATTGTTTTTCCAAATACCCGTCTCCCTACAATGAGAGTTATTTTACATTTGTTTATCAATTTTTGTAAGCGTTGGTTCTAAGTGAGTTTGCAATCTTGGATTCGACCCAGATATTTTACTTGGCTCGTTTTTTAGCCTTCCTCCAAACAGTGTCGGAGCTTCTATCCAACCTTGTTTTCTAAATAAAGGTTATGAGTTGTGCCTCGTCAATATTTATTATGATGTTTTCCCAAACGCATTACGTTTCTGTTAGCCTTAGAGCTCTTTGCATGAGTTCCAAGACTGTGATTTGGTGTTTTCCTCGGATAAGGATAACAATATAATCGGCGTATCCTTTGGCGTACAACCCCTGATTGTTAAGGGTCATT